CCTGGGGCTGTTTTCTGCTGATCCCTAGTCCATGCCCCAGACCCACGGGGAACCAAGGGCAGGTTCTAGGAGTCTCGTTCCCAAGGGCCTGAGCCCTGGTGAGTGCTGGTTAGTTGTGCCGAGGGAAATCCATGCTCTGGCAACATCTCTACTTGCAGGGGTTCCTGTACCCTGGAGCTAGGAGTGTGGGAAGCATGGGGAAGTCTAGATCCAGATCCTGTTTCTGCATTTAGGAGCTGGCTGTTTTGGGAAGGATAGTACACCTCTCTGGGTCTCAGTTTTCTCATTTGTAAAATGGCAAGAATCTCAGTTACCTGCAGGGTTCCTGTAAAGTAGGTAAGATAATTTATGTAAAGCGACCAATGCATCAAATAATAGGTATTCCATAAATAGTAGCTCTTATATAGTGTAAATAATAACAGCAATGGTAAATCCCCAGCTCCACCAATTTCCTACTGTGCAACTTTGAACAAATTCCTTATTTGTTCATCAGCTCCCTCACCTGTAAAATAAGGATCGTGGTTCATCCATTTATTTAATAATTATTGAGCAACCTATTATGTGCCAGGCACAACTAAATTTGTCATTTAGTGTTAGTTAAGAGATGCAGCACAGTGCCCAGCATGTACTAGGTGGTTGAAAAATGTCAGTTTTCTTATACAAGCCGCAGCTGGAGGATGGGAGGTAGGTGGGGGGAGGGAGGGGCTGGGACAGAGAAAGGGAACTCAGGAGGGGCAGAGGTGGAAGGTTGGGCCTGCCTCGAATTCCCAGCTTCCTCCCTGCCCTTTTTTCCTTCTCTTGACAGAGCCTCGCTTTGTCTCTAAAGGCGGGGGATGGTGCTGGGGCCTCTGAATAGTTTGCCCCTCTTTCTGCCCCTTGGTTTCATCAGACTACTTCTGTAGACTAGATCATCTGTCCCTTGCCTGTAAAATGGAGACAGTGTCTTATTCTCAGACATTGGGGCACTGCAATGTGCCCGCCCCATTCAAATGGCATCAGGCTGAGGACCCCTGCCCCCACAAAGACATGTCCCAGAGCTGTCTCCTCACTAAGCTGGTTTCCTGCCTCAAGTTTCGAGTTCCTTTCTCAGGGATCACAGGCTGGACCCAAGGCCTGTGGGCTTCTCAGCACTGAAACCCCATACCCTTCCGTTTTGACATTGCCCAACCCCCAGCCACACCAGACCAGACCCTCACAGAGCGTTGTGTGTATGTGTGTGCACAAGCAAAATGAGATCTGGTATGTAGGAAGTCTGCAATAAAAGCTGATTGAATGAATGCACAATGGATCCCCTCTGCAAATGGGGCTCATTCATTCATTCAACAAACATTTATTGAACTCATAATCCGTTTGGTTCCAGGCTCTGTGTCAAGGGCTGTGACATTCAGGTTAACAGCAGCCAAGCTCTCCAAAGACTGAATGGCATTCACAGGTTTCCTGCTCCTAACAGCCCCAGGCCCACCTGGCTCTTAGAGCACCAGGCCCCTCCCTCACCCCCAGCGACCAGAGCACTGACTCCACCACGGATTTTGACTGCAGCAGATGTTCGAGTGCTGAGTCCTCGACTTCGAGGTCGAATCCCAGTGCCGTGACCCATCCTGTGCCCTTAGGCAAATTATTTAACTTCTCAGAGCCTCAGTTGCCTCATCTGGAAAACAGGCATAAATAAAAGTGCTTATATCATATTTGCTGTGAGGAATAAATGAGATGAGGCACACATTTAGAGCAACACCCAGTGCATAGCACGTGCTCGATGAACGTGAGCTGTTACTACGACTCTTGTCTCACTCTTGTGTCACAAGCGCTTACCTCCCTCTGTCTCCTCCACAGCACCGGCCAGCACAAGCCTGAGCACACAGGAGATGGTCAGTGAAATAAGACCTCTTGGAAACAGGGAGATCTGATGGGACACTCTGGGTAAGGAAACCCAGAAACCAGCAAAGGCGTGGAGGTGGGGAAGAGCTGGGAGGGACTGTGCCTGGAGGAGCAGGAAGATGGAGGGGAAGGTCTCAGGGATGGCAGCGTCTGCTCAGGGACGGGAAGCTCACTACTCAGAAGCAGCAGGTTCAGTGGCTCAACAACTCTGACTGTCCTAGTTCTTT